GTCCCCGGCCATACACGCTCCCTCCCGCAGCAGCAGAGCCCAGAATTAGGCGAGCACCCCATTCTGCGCCTTCCATGCTTTACACCCACATCCGGCATCTCCCAGCTCTGTTTCCCCTTCCCGGCTAAGGCAATCCAGAGGGATGGACAAGATCCCGACCCTGCCACCCCCCTGCCCACAGCCAGGCTGGCACCCCATTTCCATGCCCCTGTGGCCTAGGGATGGACATCTCTGAGCAGTCACACCAACTTTTCCTCCKGCAGGAAGGATCCATCCACCATGGATCTGGTCCTGGAAGCCGCTGACCGGCATCTGCTGACGCCCTATGTGTACCCGGCGGGGTGGCCCGAGGGCGAGCCGTGCCGCCAGCTCCTCAGCCTCTTTGTCATCACCAACCTGGGGGCCCTGGCCCTCTACCTGCTCTTTGGCACCCTCAGCTACTACTTCATCTTYGACCACGAGCTCAAGAAGCATCCGCAGTTCCTGGAGGTGCGTGCACGCTGCTCACCGCGGTGTCCCCCTCGCCACCCTCCTGTCCATCCTAAATTCACGTGGGTGCSAACGTTGTGGYTGTCCCCACTGTCACAGCCACCCCYTGATCCTCGCTGACAAGTGCCACAATCCAGCACCCAGTGTGAGCCCTGTCCTGCCCCGGACACGGCTGTCCCCAAATGTGCAGCACCCCGCGTCCCACACCATGGCACAGGTGCCACGGCAAAGGGGTGGCCGTGGTGCTGGCCCTCTGTGCCTCGTGAGGGACACTGGGGTTCTCAGGATGTCCCCTGTCCCCTGACCCCACTCTTGTCACACCCCACAGAACCAGGTGAGCCGGGAGATCGCCTACGCCGTGCGCTCYCTGCCCTGGATCAGCGTCCCCACCGTCGCCCTGTTCTTCGCCGAGGTGCGGGGCTACAGCAAACTCTACGACAACATCGAGGACTCCCCGTATGGTGAGTGACCTCCCTGCCATGCCAGCACCCTCTGCCCACCTGGGTCCCCTCYCTCAGCCCCCATTTCTCCTGATGACRAGCCCGAGAAATCTCCTGGACACCYSCTGTCAGCCARAACCCCAAGTTCTCTGTAGGGGAGGCACCCACACGCCCTCACTCAGGGTCGTGCCCCCATGACTGACACACTTCCCCTCCTCAAAAGAGATCCTTCCCTTCCCTRGGCACACCTCCTTCACCTTCACCTTCCCTGACGCTGTCACGTCCATGGGGCAGACCCTGACATGACTCAGCCATGTCTCCCACCATTGTGGGGGCCCCCGCAGCCTCCTGATGCCCACGTGTGCCACCTCTAACATCCCTGTTACCCCCAGGCTGGTCTGGCGTSTTCCTCAGCATGCTGTCCTTCCTCTTCTTCACCGACATGGGCATCTACTGGATACACCGTGGGCTGCACCACAGGTTCTTCTATAAGGTCAGAGACAGGACAGGGGGCTCTGGACAAGAGTCTTACCCTGGTGACACCGGGTGGGGACAGCCCAGAGCTTGCTGTGGTCACATGTCCCAGCTGCTGCTCCCAGGGAAGGAATGGCTGGACAAAGTGTCACCATGTCATGGGAGCTGAGAGCCCAGGGCACACGTGCCCCTCTCAGTTTGGGTGGTGATGGCTCAAAGAGCATCCCTTTGGGCCGTGAATCCGGCTTGGGGATCCCCTAAAAKTCTCCAYCCCGACTGACAGCCCCGTTTCCCCRCAGCGCTTCCACAAGCCCCACCACGTGTGGAAGATCGCCACGCCCTTCGCCAGCCACGCCTTCCACCCCGTGGACGGCTTCATGCAGAGCCTGCCCTACCACGTGTACCCCTTCCTGTTCCCCCTGCACAAAGTCACCTACCTGGGCCTCTACATCTTCGTCAACGTCTGGACCATCTCCATCCACGACGGCGACTACCGCGTGCCGCGCCTGCTGCGCCACGTCATCAACGGCTCTGCCCACCACACCGACCACCACCTGTACTTTGACTACAACTACGGGCAGTACTTCACCCTCTGGGACAAGATTGGCGGCTCCTACAAGAGCCCCACGTCCTTCGAGGGCAAAGGTCCCCACGATTATCTGCGCAAGCTCCGGGAGAAGGACGCGGCGGCGGTGCCCAATGGTGCTTCCAAGGCTGAGTAGGATTCCTCTGAGCGTGTCCCTTCTCTGGCTGGGTCTTGTCCCGTTCCTYTCCAGCCCCTCGAGACTCTTTTTCACGGACAAAGAGCCCCTGTCCCTGATGACGTGACCAGCRTGGGGTGATTTTTGGTGAGCGTCCGGCCCGCCCCGATCCCAAAACGGCGGCGTCCGGTCTCGCTCCACACCACAGATCTGCCCTGTTTTTCCTACTGCTTCCCTTCCCAGCTCCTTTTGGATCTCTGCTAAGGTCCCTGCGCTGCTTTAGTGCTGTGCTGCTGCTTTTCCCAGAAGAATAACATGGCACAAATAGAACGTGGCACAAATTAACTCGTGGCAGGGTCTCCGTTYGACTGCTGCTCCCTTTTCTCGGCGATTCGTTGTTCCCATCACGGTGTCCATCGGGACRAGCTGTATTTTGGAAAAAAGACCCTACCTTTTGGAGGTGGTGTAGGTCCTCCTGATGGCTCCCTTGGTGGTGTTTCTTGGCACTCAAGCTCCTTCCTCCTGCCCGGGGRTGTCCCATGGAAGCGTCGTGCCTGTAGGACAAAGGTGCACTTTGAGTTTTGTGGGTCTCTGGAGCTCCCTGAGAACATTGAGGGGGGAGGGAGGAGGAGCAGGGACTCAGCTGTGAGGGGCAGGGGCTTCACCTCACTCGAGGTTTGTGGCCAGCCTCCCCCCTTAAGGCCCTGGGTGTTTCCTGCTGAAATGTGGTCACCCTGCCTTTGGGGCTGACCCACGGTCAATAAACTCACTTGCCAACTGGGCTGCTGTTTGGTCCCTTCTCCCTGGCTCCTGCAAAGTCTCCTGGGGCAGCCTGCTCCTCCCCTGCAGCACCCAGGAGGGGTTTGTCACAGCCCTGGGCTGTGCTGGCAGCAAATTGGGGCCGAAAAGGCAGAGGATGGGGGAAAGAGAGTGGCCAAAGCCRCCTCCAGCCCCCCAAWCCCATRACCATGGCCCTGCACCTGTGCTTTSCCATCCCCTGGCCCCRGTGTCACCAGTCACTGCAGCCCTGTCACCCTTCCTGGGGATGGAGGCTCTTCTTTGAGTCCCCTCTGTGGGGACAGACCCTCTGCTCCTCGCCCAGTCTGGGCTGTCCCCAAGGCCACACCACCATGCCCTGTGCCACCAGGGACACCYGTCCCACRTCCTGCCAGCCCAGTCCCCCAGCTGGGCCAGGCTCTGCTGTCACCTCCCCATCCCAGCTCGGTGCCCCACGTGCCCAGAACCCCTGAGCTCTGTTTGCTGATTAACCTGGGACAGGGTCAAGGCATGGCCCGGATCGAACGCAGTGACACCATCACTGACCTTGGCCGGCCCTGGGCCTCATTCCCAACCCACAGGAGACCTTTGGGAAGAGTTCTGAGCTCCTCATCACCCAGAGATGAGCCTGACACTGGGGCACACCATCCTGGCAGCGCTGGGACGGGTAATGACCCTTGGCAGTTGGGTCCTTGCAGGGGAGTGAACTCGTGTCGGTGAAATGGCATTGCTCCTGTGCCCACTGTGCCCTCCCATGGTCCTGCAGGACACCAAGAATGTCACATTCCCCTCGGGGTGGCTCTGCAGCACCCCACACCCGGGCACAGGGTGAGTGTGTCCTGCGGGTCACACACGGGTCACGCCGGCACGGAGCGCGTCCCCCGCGGTGGCACCGTGTGACAGGGACAGGAGCAGCTCCAGTCCCTCATGTCCCTGATGCTGCTGCTGCCACAAGATGGGGATGTTGCTCACAACAGCCATGGCAGGAGCTGCACCTGCGTGGATGGCCTTCCTCCTCCTCCTCCTCCTCCTCCTCCTCCTCGTTCCCCCATCGCGGGGCAGGAGTGGCTTTGCCATGAGGACACACCGAGGGTATCCCTGCTCCTGTTCCATGACCCCATTCCCCGTGCTTGGGAGCCTGCATGGCTGATTTGGGAACCTTTCCATCTGATTTTTCTGCAATAGTTTCCCTGTCCCACCCCACACCGAGCGTTTCCTCCCCTCCTTTCACCCCTCACTCCTCATCAGGGCAGTGCCTGTTTGCAGCACACACTGAACACCCTCCTCAACGAGATCCCGGCACAAAACTTGACCTGTGGTGTGGGAATTTCACAGCTGGGTGCCTCTGAGCCAGYCCTGAGCCCTACAGAAAACCCTACAACCATCAGCATCCTCTGATAAAGGCTCTGAGAGCAGCACCGTGAACAGGGTGATGCCTTTGGCTCCTGTCCCTGGAATCTCTGTTTCACTCCCCGACTTGGCTCCAGCAAAATGCAATGGTTCCTTTAAACAACTCTGCTCTCTCAGTCCCCTAAACCCTCTGGGACCTCTAAAGCTGAGACAGGGAAAGGTCTCAGGGAAGAGGGGAAGGAAAACCAGGGGGCCAGGGGCTCCTCGCCTTGCTCTTGGAGTTCACAGCTTTTGCTGCTGATGAAATCCAGATGGACCTTAAAATAAACTCTGCACTGTTCCCCTCTTCCCCTCTACGGCTCTTTTCGAGAAATAAAAAATACCTTGGCAAGGGAAACGTGTGTTTCCCTGCACAAAGAAAGAGCCATTCATCTGAAGGGCTGCCTTCACCCAAGAGCTCCTGCTTSGTGCTCTCTCTCCCTGTGCCACCACAGTGACCTGGCCAGAGGAGCCCACAGGGGGACAGGGACCTTTTTTGTATGGAATAAGGGCTGGGGGAAGGACAGCAACCCCCATCCCCACACCATTTCTCTCCATTCAGCACCTCAGGTCCTCATTTCCTCCCGTTTCTTCCTCAATCCCTCCTCTATCCCTCATCTCCAGGTCCTTTTTGGGTCCTTCTCACCACATCTGGCCCGGAGAGCAGCTGGCCCCAGGGATTCCCACACAATCAGACTCCCTCAGTGCCTCTGCCCTTCCCCACGGTCACCTCCTGTCCTCCAGGGGGACATTACCCCGAGTCAAGACCTCTAAAAGCTTTATTAGGAGGGCTTCTAATTGTATTGACCCGATAATTGAAATACACTAACTGGGTTTCTAGGTGAAAGCACCTCGGGGAAAGCTCTGGACAACATTGCTGCTGTTAAAGCAAGTGAAGTAAGGGGGAGCAGGGCTGCCTCAGGGCTGTCCACGGGATTTATAGGCTCCCATTCCTGCACTGCTGGGCCCCATCCATTTTCCTTGATGATTCCCTGACAGCAGTGGAAATGCTGGAATGGYGCACAGCGTGTGAGGCAGGGGAGTTGAAATCCAGAACATTGGAAAGGCTTTTTCTCAGCAGCAARGCTGAGCCTAAAAACCCACCTCTCCCACCTAAAACCCCACACCAGGCCCAGCTCAAATTCCTGTCATATCCCAGCATCATTTAAGCCCTCTGCCCCAAATCTTTGGATGTGGGACACACACGAGCCCCAGGCAGGGATGGGACAGGTTGTTTTCTGAAAGAGATGGACAGAGATCAGGGGAATCCTCAGGGGAGCCCAGCACTCTATTTACCCCAATAAATCAGAGCTGTGGCACTGGCACCAGTCCTGAGCTGTCCCTGCATAACCAACCAAGCATCATCTCCCCTCCATGGGTGAAATATGGGCAGGTTACCTGTGCCACGGGTTTTGTGGGAAGCACACAGCCACTGGCACAGCTCAAATCCAGCCCCAGGGTGGGCAGAAGGCACTGAAGGGACCCTGAATGTCCCTGGCTTCCCGTTCCCACCATATCTCGCTCACCTTCCCAACTCTGCCCAGGTAAAAAGATTGCAGAAATTGAGACAAAGATCTCTGGGGGCTGCCAGAAATGTACCCAGGGGAAATCTGTCACCACAACCTGTGAAATCATTTGCACTTTTTCCTCTCAAYATCCATCCTTCACCTTCCCACCCAGAAGGAGACTCAGCTCCTCACCACACTCAGCAGCAGGACCTGAGTCTATGTCACCATTATTTTATAGTTCACACCACTGTGATTCTACCAAACATCAGCCTGGACGATTGTGCCACTTCCCACCAGTCCTGGGGTGTTTCAGACCCACATCCCAGGCTGGGGGACACATCTGCATGTGAGAGGGAAAAGCAACTTGGCTTTTTTTTGGGGGAAACCTCACTGATCCCCCAGAGATAAGCAGCAGCAGTGCTTTTATATTATTTGAGTTTATTTCATTGGAACCMCAAATGGTTTGGGGTGGAARGGACCTTAAAGCTCATCTCATCCCACCCCTGCCATGGCAGGGACACCTTCCACTGTCCCAGGSTGCTCCAAGCCCTGTCCAGCCTGGCCTTGGACACTKYCAGGGATCCAGAGRCACCCACAGTTTCTCTGGGMAATCTTTSCCAGAGCCTCACYACTGTCACAGAGAGGAATTCCCGCCCAACATCCAATCTACACCTATTTGCTGCCAGTTTGAAGCCTTTCCCCTTTTCTCTGTCACTCCACACCCCCCAAAACAGCTTCAATACAGTTTCCTTCTATTCAGTCTCACTCCCTTTTACTCATTCTCACTCCCTTTACTTCATTCCTCTTTACTCCATTTCACAGAAATTAACCTGAACTTGTTTCACTCCATCTCATCGGAAACCCGAGCATCCTCCAAAGAGGGAGAAAAAGAGGGTGAGGGAAAGAAGAGGGGAGGGGG